GAATTTAGTGCCATTGTATTGCCTGTAAGGTGACTGTTACTGTATATTGTCTGTGTTCCTTTCTGGTCTATGTTACTTTTAGGCTCTCTGCTTAGAGGACCCCATTCAATATTTCTTGTAGGGCTGGTTTGATGTTTGCAAATTCTTTTAGTTTTTGTTTGTCCTGGAAGCTTTTTATCTGCCCTTCTATTTTCAATCAATGACAGCCTCGCTGGATATAGTATTCTTGGCTGCGTTATTTTTCTCGTTTAGTGCTCTGAATATATCATGCCAGTCCTTTCTGGCCTGCCAGGTCTCTGTGGATAGATAGGTCTGCTGCCAATCTAATGTTTCTGTAATTGTAGGTTACAGACCTCTTGTCCTGAGCTGCTTTCAGGATTTTCACAAGTCTCTGAGACTTGTGAGTTTTACTATTAGATGTCGTGGTGTTGACCTATTTTTATTGCTTTGAGGGGGGTTCTCTGTGCCTCTTGGATTTTGATGCCTGTTTCTTTCCCCAAATTAGGGAAGTTCTCTGCTATAATTTGCTCCAATATACCTTCTGCCCCTCTCTTTCTTCTTCTTCTGGGATCCCAGTTATTCTAATGTTGTTTCACTTTATGGTTTCACTTATCTTTCGAATTCTTCCCTCGTGATCCCATAGTTGTTTATCTCTTTTTTTTAGCTTCTTTATTCTCCATCATTAGGTCTTCTGTATCACTAATTCTCTCTTCTGCCTCATTTATCCTAGCAGTTAAGCCTCCATTTTTGATTGCACCTCATTAATAGCCTTTTTGATTTTGACTTGGTTAGATTTTAGTTCTTTTATTTCTCCAGAAAGGGATTCTCTAGTATCTTCTATGCTTTTTTCACGCCCAGCTAGTATTTTTATAATTGTCATTCTGAACTCTAGTTCCGATATCTTACTAATTTCTGTATTGATTAGGTCCCTGGCTGTCGGTGCTGCCTCCTGTCCTTTTTTTTGAGGTGATTTTTTTCCTTCTTGTCATTTTGTCCAGAGGAGAATAGATGAATGAGAGAACAAAATGCTAAAAGGGTAACAACGACCCCAGAAAAATATACACTAAACAAATCAGAAGAGTCCTGAAATGGGGGGGAAAAGAATGGGGGAAAAAAAAAGGAATATGATCAGGCTGGTGAATAGAACAGAGCCACACACTAGATTTTGGGTGTATTTTGGTCTGTTAGAAGAAATTGCCTCCCAAAATTTTAAAGAAAGAAAAACATATATATATAGAAAAATAAGAGTCCATACGATGAAGGGATATGGAATATGACTGTAAAGATGAAAATTTAAAAAGATTTTATGGTGCGCCTGTGTGGCCCAGTCGTTAGGCGTCTGCCTTTGGCTCATGTCATGATCCTAAGGTCCTGGGATCGAGCCCCGCATTGGGCTCCCTGCTCAGCGTGAAGCCTGCTTCTCCCTCTCCCACTCCCCCTGCTTGTGTTCCTTCTCTAGCTTTGTCTCTCTCTGTCAAATAAATAAAATCTTTGTGGAAAAAAAGGTAATTAAAAAAGATTTTTAAAAAGGAATTGATAAGTTGGTTGATAAAAGAACAAAAAAATTTAAAAATAGAGAATGTGATCAGGTGGGAGAGTAGGACAACGTCATACACTAGATTACACAGGATACACAGGATATATTTTGGTCTGTTAGAAGAAACTGTATCACAAAATTTTAAAGAAAGGAAAGCATATATATACAAAAAATAAGGTTAAATACAATGAAGTGATAGAATATAATTGTAAAAATGAAAATTGAAGATTTTAAAAAAGGAATTGATAAGATGTTCATTGAAAAAGGAAAGAAGAAAAAGTCAAGTATAAAAAATAGAAAAGGAAAATAATAAAGTTTTAAAAATTATCTTTGAAAGACTAAGGAATCATGGGGATAAAATCCATGAATTCTATGTGCTGTATTACCCTCGTGCTGAGGTTTTGCTGTCCTCATTGATCGGTAAACTTTGTCTTGGCTGGATGGTCTTGCTGATCTTCTTGTGGAGGGGCCTGTTGCAATTAGTATCAAATGTCTTTGCCTGATGCAGAATTGCACTGCCGTTGCCAGGAGCCAGGCTATGTAATCTGCTTGGGTTTGCTCTCGGTAGCTTTTGTTCCCTGAAAGCTTTCCATACAGCTTTGGAGGACAAGAGTGAAAATGGTGGCCTCCCAATCTCTGGTCCTGGAGGAGCCGAGAGCTCAGGGCCCCACTCCTCAGTGAGCCCTCAAGAGAAAAGCAGTCACTTCTTTCTCACACATCTCCAGCCTCACTCCGTGCTCACCAGGCTTGTGACTGAGCATTTCTATCTCTGGCACACGACCCTGTGTGGAGTCTCCAAACCCAGCAGATCCCTGCAGTGCACTCCCACGCCGCTCCTCCCTGGGGAGGAAGGAGAGTCTCCCCGCATCTGCCGCTTGTTGGGTCCCTGCTGGAGGAGCAGTGGCCCGACTGTGCCGCGGATCACGGTTTATGGCAACCCCGAGCTGAGAGCCCGCGCCTCGGCTCCATCTCTGCAGCCAGCTTCCCCACTCCGATACCTGGGAGCTCTGCCACACTCAGGCACCCCCAGACTTTCTGTGACCCCGAGGGTCCTGAGACCACACTGTCCCACGGAGGGTTCCACCACCCTCCTGCTTAGCCACCAGAGCTACGTCCATCCGCAGAGCAGACTTTTAAACGTTCTGATTTTGTGCTCCACCGCTCTATCACTTGCCCGTAGCTGGCTGACGGAGGCCCCGTCCCCCCGCGGTCTGTCTTCCCAAATACCACCTCAGATATACTTCTCCACACGTCCTATCTTCCAGAAAGTCGTTGCTTTTCTGTTCATAGAATTGCTACTATTCTTTTCTTCGATCTCCTGTTGAGTTTGTAGATGTTCTGAATGGTTTGATAACTATGTAGCTGAATTCCTGGGACCAGACAAAATTTAGGTCTCCTACTCTTCCACCATCATGCTCCTCCCCGGAATTTGTTTTTTATTAACTACTATTTCAGGAGTTTCACCATCTGGAACAGATGTTGATTCATTATAAATGAAGTAATTTTAAGGTATTTTTTAAAAGTAAAGAATGTATTAATATATTCTTCCTACAAGAAAACTAAGATAATTCAGAAAGGTAGAGATTACAAGGGTCTCCTTGTTACTTCTCTAGCCTGGAAAAAACCTCTTTTAGTAGGTAGATGTTTATCCATGTTTATTTTGATGTACAGGCGATTGTGTGTATGTGTGTGTTTTATGTATAATGAAATACATAGTTCTACCTCTGTTTCTTTTTTTTTAGCATGAATGATTTACTCTATATGTGTTCTAAAGATTTGAAATGAAAGAAATGCCATATTTTGACCACGAATGTTATTATCTACAGGAAGGAAGGATAGGATGTTTCAACATTGGAAATTCACCACATTACCAAAGAGAAAAAGTTAATCACCTCAGTAGATGCTAAAGACATTTGACAAAATTTAATACCTTCTCTTTAGAAGTTGAGGCAGAAAAACATACCTGATTTCTTTGCTGTTCTGGAAGTAACTTTCGTCTGTGTGTGTGTATGCATGTTTCTCACAAACTCAATACAAATGAATTGAAAAATGCATTAAAATATCATCTGTGATTAAACTACTGAGATTATGCATATATATTTTCTCAGAATCACTGTGTAGTTTGCTAATGAATTTATTATATTTTTGCCATGTCATTTCATCTTTTTCTCCAAAGGCATATAGTATGAAACAATTATGTTTTAACCATTTACTTATGTTAGGCCATTTAAGTTATGCATGTCCTAAATTACTTCTCTGAAGATATTTCTTAGGATAGAGTTAATATTCTGGACAATGAGAGTATATGAAATTTTTTTCTCTCTATTGTGAATTTGCCCTTCTGAAAGTTATTGTAGCAATGGTCTATGAGAGAGTTCATTTACATATGTGACATGTTAAGAGAAAAAAAAAATTGGAAATAATTACATTAATTGTTGTATGTAAGATAACCAAACCTTTCACATTGTGTGGGTGTTTTTAAAAATGGCCTCTTTTTTTTTGACTCCTCAGAAAACCAGACAAACAAAACAATAGATGCTTCTGTTAATAAGAAAGCAGCTGATAGCACATCACAGGTAAGATTTCTTCATTGTTTCAAAGTAAAATTCTAATTACGGTGCACACGATAATGGATTTCCATCCAATAATCTTTAATACAATGAAAATTATTCTAATTTAGTAATCATACTTTTCAGACCTAGAATTTCTATTTTTGTTTTCCAGTTTCTACTTTTGAGATTTCTTGTACATTCATTAATATTATATTTTCCTTTATTTCTTTGAATATATACTTAAAAGATGCTTTGAAGTCTTTGCTGAATTCAACATCTAGTTCCACTTGGAGTCATTTTATTTTGACTGTCTTTTGTCCTTAGTTGGGTTCTACTTTACTGGGCTTTTGCATGTTTGTGTAATAATTTTTGATAAATTTAAAATTTAGTAAATTTTGAAAATTGGACCTTATAAATACATTGCAGCAAGTAGATTCTGTTACATTCTTTAAGAATTTAAGAACTTTTAGTTTTGGATTTTAGATTGTTGTGTTAGTTAACAAATCATTTTCTATTAAGTCGTCATCATAGAAAGATTTATAATTGTAAGATTTAGAATTACATCATTATTTTTGGATTGGGCCTGAATTTTTCAATGTCAAGGAATTACTTTCTTCAATTATGTAAAGTCTGAATTTTGCAATTGAAAACCTTAATCACTTGGAGCTGATCTCAGTATAATATATTATAAAGTAATTATGATTAGTATTTATTACACAGCACATGTTAGGCCTGGTGTTAAGCTCTTTGTCTGCATATTTGGTTTGATCCTCATTACAGACCCCATATCCGGAGTTTGGAAATTGAGGATCTTATCTTTTAACATAAATTCACATTGCTAATATGAGCTGGAACTAAAAGATGCCCTCAGTCTTTTTGACTTAAAGATACTGGTTCTTTAGGTCTGTATTGTACTGTTGCTGCTATTATGTAGTTAAAAATTTTTTTTAAATTACATTTCTAATGATTTGGGACAATGGGTTGACTTAGGTCAGGTTGGATGTCAGTTAATAGTGTAGCACACCATATCTTATCATAGCATACCTTTTTTTTTAGGGGGAAAACATAGATTATTTTATATAACTTAATTCTAGCTTTGAAGTTGCCTTTGGTGTTTTGGCGAATTAATAGTGATAATTTAATGTAGTATTGGTCAACATTTTAAATTCTGGAAAATGGTGTTTGTGTTGAATCAAGCACCTAATCACTTTAATAGCCCTATGCAATGGACAAATTAAAAAAAAAACTTTTAGAAATTCTTGTGAAAGTCTTTCAGAATTATTTTCTGTATGACAGATGTATAGCTCATGAGTATTTGGGGTCATTTGTCTGACAAACTCTGTTTTTTCAAGGAATGCCATTTAGTGGTCCAGATGAACCAGCCTACTCATTATCCTTGTTGCCCCTTAGTATTATTTCACTTTTCCTTTATGTCTGCCAGAGTTTCCTTTGCAAAATGCAGAAGTTTTGTTTTTCAGAGTGGAAAAGCCACAGGCAGTGATTCAGGTGGTGTCATTGATCTCACAATGGATGATGAAGAGAGTGGAGGTTCACAAGGTACTTATAAGTAATTGTACCAGTACCAAGGAATGTGTTGATAACATTTTTTCCTTTTAATCCACTGTAGTAATCAGTGAAGACAGATCTCTACAACATTATGCTTGATGTATTTTTTTTTTTTAAAGATTTTATTTATTCATTTGAGACACAAAGATAGAGAGAGAGCATGAGCAGTGGGAGAGGCAGAGGGAGAGGGAGAAACAGACTCCCGGCTGAGCCAGAAGCCTGATGTGGGGCTCAATCCCAGGATCCTGGGATCATGACCTGAGCTGAAGGCAGACGCTTAACCATCTGAGCCACCCAGGCGCCCCTATGCTTGATGTATTTGTATCTGTTTTATCTATTTTAGAATAAGAGTTTTTATATTATGCCATATAGTGGTTAACTGTTTTTAAGGGCTTCGTCTGAGATGCAAACATTTATTCATAGGCTGTCATATACCTTTTTTGAGATTAGACACTCTATGTGTATCTTATTTTAACGACTGGATAGTGTAAATCAGCAACCGTCTATATTATCAAACAAAAGAACCTAAACAGCAGTAGAGTAATTGGAGTTCAAGATCACTGATAAAAAAAACTCATCAATTTATAGGTGTTTGCTTAGGGGAATGTCCTTGCTATAGATAATAGATGCATAGATGTGTATGAATATGGGAAATGAAATTATTCTGATTGACAGGATATTGTATTGAGTTCAGTAATAGGATTCTTTCATGAAAAACAGTGTACAACTATATTTCTATAAATGTGCATTAGAGTATGTGGTAAAATCAACAGTGAATTATTTAAGGCCGTGATGTGGTGTTTTAACCTGGTAAATGTGCACATAATTAAAATAGAAATAAACTGTTCTCTTAGTGGTAAATGTGACTGAGTGGCAAGCAAATGTAAAATTCACAAATAAAAGAAAAACCTGTATTTCTCATTTTTGTCTATCAATAATCACCATGTCTCACTTTTCATTAATAGACCCTAAAAAGCTAAACCATACTCCTGTGTCAACCATGGGTCCTTCTCAGCCTGTGTCTCGACCATTGCAACCCATCCAGCCTGCACCACCTCTTCAGCCATCTGGGGTGCCAACAAGTGGACCATCTCAGACAACCATACATTTACTACCTACAGGTAAACTTGCTGAATCATTGAGTTGAAGCTTTTAGTTTTGCTTACAGTGAAATATGACTATGGAAGTAAGTGGAAAGATTAGATAGAAAATTAAGGGTAATTCTCTGTTATTTTGAGGACAGGGCATCTTTTTGAGTGTAGTGTAACTTAGATTTGCTGACCATCTTAAGTAGCACCACTGACTGATACAGAGTGGTTATAAGGAAGAAAAATTACATATATTTTTGTCATCTGCCACTATAAGCAGCAGAAATGAATATAGTTTCTTTTGAGGGGATGGCTATAATGATTCATTCTGATTATGACCACAAAGTAATAATTGACTGATGAAGAAAAAAATTTTAAATGATTCTTAATGTGAACTAGTTTTAACTGGCCTAACACTACCATTTGGAGATATATACTAATGTTTTACACACTGCCTCTCAAGAAGTTATAAATCCTATATTTTCAAGATGTAGCCTAGATCTCCTAAACTATGGGGAAGCCAACCAAGAGAGTTTGTCTTTTTTTTTTTTAAGATTTTATTTATTTATGTATTAGAGAGCATGCAAGTTGGGGGAAGAGTGTAGAGGGAGGGGGATAGAATCTCAAGCAGACTGTGGAGTGTGGAGCCCAACATGGGGCTCAGTCTCACAACCCTGAGATCATGACCTGAGCCGAAATCAAGAGTCAGACGCTCAACTGACTGAGCCACCCAGGAGCCCTAAGGCAGTTTGTCTTTTTTTTTTTTTTTTAAGCATTTTATTTATTTATTTGACAGAGCAGGAGAGTACAGGCAGGGGAAGCAGCAGAGGGAGAGTGAGAAGCAGGCCCCCTGCTGAGCAGGGAGCCTGTGTGGGGCTTGATCCTAGGACCCTGGGATCATGACATGAACTGAAGGTAGTCGCTTAACTGACTGAGTCACCCAGGTGCCCCTGTTTTGTTTTGTTTTGTTTTTTAATAAAATAGCTCATCACTAGAGATTTATCTGCAAAATTATATATGGACTTTTCTCATTAAGGAAAACATTGAATTCACATGGAATTGTATCTAGTGAAATCAAAGTTTAAGTCACCAATTTATATAATTTAGAAGGAGATATCATTATGCAAACCATGTGCATAATAGATAATAAAATGGGTAATAAAGAGATAAAGAGGTTAAGTATTCCTCCTTGTGTACTTTCTTCCCCTTTCTCATATTGAAAGTTCAGATATGTAAAGACTAAGTTAAGTAAAGACGTTAGTAAATAAGTCATTAGTAAAGAAACCTTTTTATCAGATGTCTCATATCCAGTGTTTACCTCCAAATTTGTTTTATTATGGAACCCATTTTCCATATGAAAGTAGATTTATTATTATCTTTTGTTATATAGTTAATATGTGGTTCTTTGTAAAATGTGATGATAATTCAGAGAGTTATTAACTCCTAAAATAATTATTGTATTGTAATTATTGTAGTTCTGTGCTGCCAGTGAACAGTTAGGACTTTTTTGATAAATATATGTTAACATCACTCAAGGCATGAATGTTCTCTAGAACATAAATTAGGAGGAATGCTGGAGTAGAGAAGGAAAAATTCTGTATTTTAATTGATGTTTTATTGTTTTGAATTAAGAGATGGTTTGGTTCACCTAAAGAAAACGTCTGTTACAATAGCCAGCCAGATAGAAAATTAAGGATAATTTCTTGAACTGTGGGAATACAGTTACTCCTGGATTTATGCCATTAGTAGAAGGCCTTCAGGGCCCCAAATCCCACTCTGCTAAGAATAATTAAACATTGAGGAGTGAAAATGTGCTCTTTTAATAAAGTCATTCCCATAAGATCATACTCTCAAGTCTTTATCTTTACATGCTTATCATCAAGTCAAACTGAAGAGTGGGGAGGTCATTGGACATGGTTGAGGTGCTCTTTCCTTCTGAAGTTTGGATTGTAATAATAGTTACTATTAATTTTGGTTGGCCATAACACTCTTCTCTTTCAAGATTACAAAAGGAGACTGTTGTCTGTATTTCTGTCTTTATTATAGTTAGATTTTGTGCAAAATTAATCACCATTAATAACTGTTTACTTAACTGGCATTTTAATGTTTTTCTGTTTTTCATTAGCTCCAACCACCGTGAATGTAACACATCGTCCAGTAACTCAGGTGACCACAAGACTCCCTGTACCGAGAGCTCCTACAAACCACCAGGTGGTTTATACAACTCTCCCAGCACCACCAGCTCAGGCTCCCCTGCGAGGAACTGTCATGCAGGCTCCTGCTGTTCGGCAGGTCAATCCCCAAAATAGTAAGAGACTCTTTTCTTGTGTATGGCCTCAAAGTTACATGTAGTCCTTAAGCATTTAGTGGGCTTACATTGACATTAGATTTAGCAAAAAAAATTGCTTATAATATTATATTAAAACTATTGATAATTTTTCTTCTTCCCCTAGGAGAGTTAACCAGAAAAATTGGACATGTGTATCATATGATTTGTGCTCCATGTGTTGTCTTCAATTTAATTTTATTTATGGCCTGTATTATCACAATGCTCTATTTGATAGTGGTCTGCACTCTTAAGAGATACCTTACCTAATTAAAGTGGGAATGATTAATTGTGGCATAGCCCAGATAATGGAAATGATGGTTAAGGATAGCCTCCAATGAGAGAGAGTCTTAAGGGTGTGGAAGATGGCTGAGTAATAGAAGACAGGAATATGTTAAAGGAAATCTATTGTTTCTACACACACACACAGAGATATATATACACACGTATATATAATTATATATATATACTGTATTTAGTAGTAAAATATAGCATACAAACAGAAGTTTATATAAAAAGTATATGTAAAGTTTAAAGAAAACTAACAAAATGAACCACCTATGAAATCTCCACCAGTCTAAGAAATAGAGCTTTATCAGTATCCTACAAGCCTACTGTATGCCTTCATTGTATCCCTCTCCCTTTTCATCATAGGTAACCACCACCTTCATTTTCTGCTTTTGTGTATGATTTTGCCACCAAATAAATATCATCAAAAATACTTAGTTTTGCAAAATTTAATAGCAAGGGCAAATCTAGCTGTTTAAAGAAACTGCCATTATTAGGTGATGATTTCGAGGAGAAAATAAACTAAGCAGAGTCTCTGGTTCACAATCTGGCTTCAGTTTTTCTCAAGTTTACAAGAGCGTTTTCTGGGAAATCAGTCAGTGGGGTCATGAATGAGTTCTGGGAAACTGGGCTCACTATAGTCAGGGTACCTGGCAGAACTATAGTATGGGCCAGGAACTGAATAAATGGCAGTAATATGGTCCGGACAGTAGTTGACTTAAAATTGTCTGTTTCTGTTACCCTAACATATGTCAGAATAGTTTTCTGTTCAGTAAATTGAGTATCCTCAGCTGTTCACGGCATGGAGAGAAAGTGAGGAACCTCATTAACACGAACCAAGGATAACTTATAGTTGAGATTTCTGTTCTAGTTGAAAAGATGAGACAGCTGAGATTTTTTTTTTTAAGATTTTTATTTATTTATTTGAGAGAGAGACAGCGAGAGAGAGTACACGAGTGCGGAGGAGAGGGAGAAGCAGGCTCCCCAGTGAGCAGGGAGCCTGACGAGGGGCTTGATCCCAGAACACTGGGATCATGACCTGAGCTGAAGGCAGATGCTTAACCGGCTGAGTCACCCAGGGTGCCCCAAGCAGAGATATTTTTGAGGACAGCTTCAATTTGTCTACCTTTAGAGTTACACTGCTCCATTCTGGCCTGTTTGACTTCTACATGTGGTGTACCACTGTGTTCTACTGTTCTAGGGTTTTTGCTTATAGTCCTCCTGGTAGGGATTCCATTTATTTCTCTTATGTGCTGGATCTCCACTGTTTCTTGTATCTCATGTTTTCCTCTTTCTTGATTTTCACTCTCATAATTAGTGGCACATATCCTCCAAAGGCTTTTTGAGAAAGGGTTTATAGAGAGAGATTTTTTTTGGTTGCTTGCATACAGGAAAATTTCTTTCTCCTCAGGCTTATTATTTGGTTGAGTGTAGACTTCAAGGTTAGAAATGTTTTTCCTTCCAAATTTTAAAAACATCACTTTGCTGGCTTCAAGTGTTTAATCTGTGTTCTACCAAATTTAGACTAGAAATCTAGGGTTTTTGTTTGTTTGGGTTTTTTTAGAGAAGGAGAGAGATGGGGGGAAGGGCAGAGGGAGAAAGAGAAACTTAAGCAGGCTCCATGCTCAGCACAGAGCCTGTTGCAGGGCTTGATCTCACAACCCTGAGACCATGACCTGAGCCAAAATCAAGAGTCAGATGCTTAACTGACTGTGCCCCCGAGGTGTCCCTAGAATTCTAGTTTTATGCCTTAATTTTCTTTTGTAGGTGTCACAGTTCGAGTGCCTCAAGCAACTACGTATGTTGTAAACAATGGACTAACCCTGGGATCAGCAGGACCTCAGCTCACAGTGCATCACCGACCACCACAAGTGCATACTGTAAGTGTTGATGTTTGGATTTCTAAACTTTTCAACCGTAGAGCTGTCAAATATTATTGTAGTTAGCATTTATCCTTCAACCTAGTTGTATCAAGAGGTAATGACAGGTCTTCTGTTTTTCCAACAGAAGTTTATTTAAGAAATAGGTCTTAACCATTATGAACAAATGTTCTTAGGGATGGTAGCCATCAAGGATCACTGAGTTTGCTTGTGGTGGTATACAGTGTTCAAGAAGCGTCCATACCTGGGACACGTGAAGTAAAATAGACCATTTTTTAACTCATGGTTACATTAAAAGAGTATTTTTGAGTATTAGTGTTATTCATGTTCTAGCTTTATTCTTTTCCTCAAAACCTTATAGCAGTTCTAACTGGTATATTGCCATCACTTTATTGTTTTTAATAATCTAATGGTATTGGGAATTCATTTGTTAAGAGATGACAGAGAAGATCAAAGATGTTGTCTTAGTTTTAGGCTGCAAAACAATATCACATTATTCTGTGACATGATTATAACAGTATTTGATATGGTATACCATGTAAATGGAAATGCTGGCTTTATGAGAAGGGAGGAGATTGAGATTTCATATCACTTTTCACCAAGCAAAGAGTCCCTTTTTTAAGTATGCATAATTATTACTAGCATTTCTTGAGTGCTTGCTACGTGCCAGCACTGTAAATATACTTGGTCCTCAGGAATCCTTTAGGAGTCTTGCTCTCCTTTTTTATTCTTTATTATCGATATGGCAGCTTATACACAGAGAGTAACCAGCCCAAGGTCATACCTCATAAAAACTCATGCATTCCAGCTTTCTAGTCTATCTTATTTTTCTTACTCCACTATAATGAAAAAATGAATGTTAATGGAGCACTAACTATATACCAGGCACTCTACTAAGTACATGTATTATTTTATTTAATTCTCACAACCCTATGAGGATTATTATTCTCCTTTTGATAGAAGAGGGTACCATGTCACAAAGATGTTAAGTGGTTACTCAGGTTACTCAGTGTCATTACCCAAGCTAATGTCGGAGCCATTTTAACACAGGTTGTCTGATCCCAGCACTTGCAGTGTTTCAAATCTGGCCCTGTTAGAATATATGTGTGAATATACCATTACTGTTGTTTGTAGCTACAAATAATTTCTTTCATTCCATATTCCTTCAAAAAATATAGAGTAAAAATCTCTAATACCATAGTTTTACAAATTTTTTTAAAATTTTTTTTAAGATTTATTGTTTTTTATTTTTTTTATTTATTTGACAGAGACAGCGAGAGAGGGAACACAAGCAGGGGGAGTGGGAGAGGGAGAAGCAGGCTTCCCACGGAGCAGGAAGCCTGATGTGGGGCTTGATCCCAGGACCCTGGGATCATGACCTGAGCCGAAGGCAGATGCTTAACTGACTGAGCCACCCAGGCACCCCATAGTTTTACAAATTTGATGACCTATCAAGAGCTTTTTTTCAAAAAAACAGGAGCCCATGTGTATTGTCTTATAATAAACTGTGTATCTTACAGGAGGAACTTTTTTTTTCAGAAGGAACTTTTTTTAAAATTTTATCTTAATTAATGTAAAAAATGCTTTTAAATGAGAATTTGCAAATATATCAATAGAGAGTATACTGTAACAATTCCCACTTACCCATCACTCGTCACTTATCAGCATATGGCTAATCATTTTCATATATAATGCCACCCACTTATTTTGACAATCCATGTATACACGGGGTTATTTTGAAGCAGATCCCTGTTGTATTATTTTATTTGTAAAACTTGAATAAAAACCTCCATTGCAATGGCAAAAATGAAAAAACAAAACTCATTTGACTTAATACTAAGTTTCAGGATATGAGCAGATTCAGAATCCTAGAATTTTAAGAATTAGAAGGGACATAACAGCCATTAAAGCTGTTGTCAAACTCCTTAAATTCTTGTGCTCCCTCCAGTCAGATTCATGGCTTCAGCCATCTTCGCTTGGATCTTGCTGTTTATTTAATGTTATTTACTTAGGTGACTAAATCACTTAAGGAAAAAAAAGATAATTTGAGAGAGTAAATAGAGCAGAATGTCCAGCATTCAAATCACTTCTACTTTTTCAGCTTTCAATATTTTATTTAAATTTGATTTTTTTCCCTTCTAACTTTATATTCATTTTAGCTTTTTAACTGTGGATTCTGCCTTTTTCCAGATATGTATATGAATTTCTTCCACTAGGCATATGAATTTCAACACATTTGCTTTCCTTGAAATTATCCAGCATATCCTTTTTGAGTTCTTACTATGTGCACATTACTGCTACTAAGCTTTGACAGGGCATGGAGATTAAAAACATAGCATCAGACCTTCACAGAATTCTTTGTTTAGTGTATATAAATAACTCATTTTATGAAATGCATATTAAAACATAGTTCTTATTCAGTGAATTTTAGTTAAGGAAATCTTACTTGTTTCATGACTTTTAGTCTAAAGTCAGTGAACAAATGACACGTTTCACTTGGGAAAAAAAAAGATCACTCCATATCCCTTTTTCCTGGCTTACACTTGAATCTTTTTAGAAAAAAATTACCATCACTGTAATCTTTATTAAAACCTAGATATAGGGCGCCTGGGTGGCTCATTCGGTTAAGCGTCTGCTTCAGCTCAGTTCATGATCCCAGGGTCCTGGGATCAAGTCCCACATCAGGCTCCCTGCTCAGCCAGGAGTCTTCTTCACCTGCTTTCTCTGCCCCTCCCCCATACTCGTGCACTCTCTCTCTCAAATAAAATCTTAAAAACAAACAAACAAACCCTAGGTATAATAATAATGTCCAGTGTTAGAAACAAGTCAGTTTGAATTCATACACTTACTATTCATGCTTTTTCATCATATGGCCTTTACCTTTCCAAATGTCTTTTCTTATGCATATGCCCTATGTCTTAGTAAAAGTTAATACTTGTTTTTGCCCATAAATCCCCTACTTTCCTGTAGCCCCATGCCCTTATTCATGCTTTACCTATTGGCTGAAAGGTTACACACTATTTCTCCATTTCTAAATCTTACCTTTCATAGTCCAACTTAAATGTCACCTTTTTTGTGCAGATTGACTAAGAACATAATATGTACATTCAGCTTTAAATGTGCTTATTTGTGATCTGCTACTGTCCTTAGGTGGAAAAAATGGCTTAAAAATGAAAGAGTTGAATACTCAAATTACATATATATAGTAGACTGTCACACATGATGTTTAAAACTCTTACATTATTCTAAAATGAGAATGTATAGCATAGATAATTAAACATAAATTATTTTGTTAGAGATAGATGATTATTTTAGTTTCTGTCAAAATGATTTTCCATCAGCAAAGGCTTTCCTTTCTCAAGGAAAGCTTAGTATTTTAGATGTAGAAGGTATATTGGAGTATCAATAGACAAATAATATTGTTTATGGCATGACTGGTCACAAATCAAATAGAGCTAGCCAAATGTGGTACAGTATTTGGTATTTCTTAGTATTCTTGATGTAAAATGATAACTCTTTAAATGATCTCTGAGTTGGTTTAGTTCTAGCATTCCGAAATAGTCCTATCTGTGATCATTATTAAATCAACGTGACTCTTCTTTTGTTAGGAGCCCCCACGCCCTGTGCACCCAGCACCCTTACCAGAAGCCCCACAGCCACAGCGTCTGCCCCCAGAAGCTGCCAGCACATCTCTGCCTCAGAAGCCACACTTGAAATTAGCACGAGTTCAGAGTCAAAATGGCATTGTACTGTCATGGAGTGTCCTGGAGGTAGACCGAAGCTGTGCCACTGTTGACAGCTACCATCTCTATGCTTACCATGAGGAACCCAGTGCCACGGTGCCCTCACAGTGGAAAAAGATTGGAGAAGTAAAGGCACTTCCCTTGCCCATGGCATGCACTCTCACCCAGTTTGTATCTGGCAGCAAATACTACTTTGCAGTACGAGCCAAGGATATTTATGGACGTTTTGGACCTTTCTGTGATCCTCAGTCAACAGATGTGATCTCTTCTTCCCAGAGCAGTTAAACCTTGGAGCCTTTATCTCTTCCTCTTTCCGAGTTCCACTTTTTGGTCTTGTTTTAATCTTGTGCATGATATCCATTGTAAAATCCACATTGTGCAAGATTTCTTGGACAGATGTGTATATACACTACATTTGTTTATAATCAGAAGTAAAATAAACAGCCCATAAAGCAAGAGTCTTTTCCTGGACAATTGAAGCTTCACGGTTTTGAAGTGTAAATGTGCACCTTGCTTTAGTTTTAAGGCTGGGGAATATGTGTGGGTGTTTATGTGTGTTTTTCCCTATTTATATGTTTACTGCAGTGGAATCTCCCATTTCCATTCTCACATTTACCTCTCTTCAAGTATAAAGTAAGTAGATCAAGGGATCCGAGGTATGGTATGTAACTGGCATGATTCTGCTTCTGAGGGATCTGTGGGTTCATAGCTAAATGAATCTAAAGGAAAGAAAAAGCAAAATGGTTAAATAGTTTAAACTAGGTTAATTTGAACACAGGAAGGATCTGTTCATCTTTTTTCTTTGCTTGGTTGTTAATTAGGTGAAAAAGATCTGCATTGGCCCCTCTTTCCTAATCTGGCTCTTACATTTATTTTGTGCCTTAAAGATTAACTACTAAAATAAACATGACCATTTATCCATTGTTGATCTTCTCTTTCAGCCTTTTGCCCTTCGTTTCTCCTTCATCTCTACTAAATATAGCACATTCTCCTCAAGTCAGTTTTAAACTTAACTAAGGCTTTTAGGTATATTCTTACCAGTGGCATCACTACATTTAACTCTAAAAATTTGACTGCTCTTTTCTTCTAAGAACATAAGTGCTTTTTATCTTTGGTCACTACTTAAATTAACCGTGTAAAATGGACCAAGAGAAGAAAGACCATAGTGTGTAAGAAAATTGTCCTTCAAACATATTTTAGAATTTATATTGCATACTGTGTTAGAGATTAGGAAAGCAATGCTAGTTCACTTTATCACCCAAAGCGTAGTATTCTTTCGTAGGTAGTAAAATTCACAAAATATAGTGAGCTAAAATATCAAAGGGAAAGCTTTATTTCCTTATTATTCTCCTATCATTTTTTTCTGTTTTAACCTTTTAACTTTGTTTTGATGGTGCCAAGTTTTGTCTGATTTACCCTCTGTCAACTTTGGACAGAATTTAAAGTATATCCTTTGGGGTTATTTTATGTAACAATTAGATAATACTTTCTATGTGTCTCTGTTCCTGTTCAGAGTTACTCAAATTCTGTTTAGATCATGGATTTTCAGTATGAGTGCCAGCTCTACTGGTATCAGGTAGGTGTTCAAGTGTAGGTAGTTTAGGGCAGGAGAGATGGGGTAAGTTTGGGGATGAGAGTATGGTTGGGAATAGTTTGGAAGAAATTCATGGAGTTTGTGAAATAGTTTTTCAAGGCATCTTCCCTTACCATATTTGAATGCATATTCCTATCTTCTCAAAATAAATACATTTTTAATTTTTCTTGGGGTTATAGGAGGGAGCTATCCCTTCTATTAATGCTGCTTTGTTTGCAGCTTTGATGGCTTGTAATGGGAAGCATTCTAGCTGTAAAGAAACTCTCATTAGAGACTTCACCGGTCAGTATACTGGCACATTAGGTGTAAAGTTTGATTGATGCTGAAGAAAGCCTACAGATTGCCAAAATGTAAGTGCTCCAGAACCTTCCTTTCACTTTCAGAAAATGAGACCACAATGAGAAAGTTTTCATGAATCCAGTTTGCCAACCAACTACGTAGATGTTACTCATTCTAGGACTTATGATGGTAAAAGAAGTTGTCAGTGTCATGCCAATGAAAATTTTAAAAGGGAGAAACTGATGATCTTCTAGCGTATATGAACACCTATCTATATCTGCATGTATATATGTGTTTACCCGCAATGGTGGCATTGTTGATTATGTGTTCAAGATCATTCCTGTCTACAGAATGGAAAGCCTGTGTTCAATTAAAGATGTTCTTTATTGGCCGGTTTTATGGTCATGTGATGACAATTTGCTTACCTAGCCTAGAAAAGCTTCCCTTGGTGAATGTTTTTATTTATATTCACTAATCATTTTTTTTAAGCTTTCATAGCATTATATAATCAGGTGAAGAAAGCTCAGTAGAATGAAAATACTATTTTAGCCTATATTGTGTGTCTTCTGTCAAAGAAAAAAAAATAAATTCTCAAATAGTAACCCTAAAAATACACTTCCTATGGCAAAATAAAACTTTTTATTCCAGATGGTGGAAGGAAGGTACAAAGAGAGACTGTAATTATTTGAGGAAAGTGTGTATTACGAGATGCTTTCCTCAAATTAGCATGCCATGGGATTTATAGGCAACAGCTATATTGAATTTACTGAAAACTGCTAGGCTAGGACTATAGGCATTTATTTTGGGCAGGTTTTGTTGATGAGCTCTGAGTTTGTTTTGTTTCTTTTGAGAGAGAGAATGGAGGACTGAACTAGAAATAGCTACTGATTACAAGACTATATTGTAGCAGTTCATACTCCATGGTACCTTTTCACAAAGTATTACAAATAAGTTTGATTATCCCATTTTGGGAATGCAAGTTTGTTAACAGTTTTAGCCTGACAGTACTTGTGTAAGTATTGCCTTATTGGAAATCCCGAAAGCTTCTGATATTTCCACCTGAAATATAGGATGTTCATATGGCATTTGAAGGTAATGGTGATGTTTGTTGCTCTATGTTTTGCACTTTGTCAGAGTAATTTTCACCCTGTTTTAAGTGTGAGTAAGCCTCATTTTAAAATTATGTTCTTGCCAGTTAGTTTATAAAGTACAAAGACAACATTTCTTGTTAACTGTTAACTTTATGAGGTAACTATATCCCTGTTTCCCTGGACTCGCTTTAAAATATGCAGAATACTGTGTACTGTTTAACACAGTAGATGTTCATGAGAGAAGTGAAGAGTACAGCTTTCTTCCTTGAAAAGTGCATATTTATTGGGATGCCGTTTGCCTCACAGAGAGTGTTCCCCACTCAGCCCACCGCCATTGCTGGATAGTAAATGAAAGATGGAAACATGACCGAAAGCAAGGAGCTTAGAAGTTTTGGTACATCTGTCTGCAAAATTCCTTAGGCAGGCTGCACTATACAGTTCTCTTACTGTATTGAGTAAGTGTTAACTTAGTTTTTATCGTTTGCTCTTTTGCTTACATTTTCCAAATTATTTATGCAGCAAGGTGAATGTTAATATTGCATGATACGCATTTACCTTGTTCCATGGATTTTCCAGTACTGTACAAGATTAACAAAATAATGCCTGTGGTATCCTCTTCTCTTCTCTTTGATACACTGTGATTTTAGCACATTAGAGTACTGAAAAGACCTTCCAAGTGTTCTCCCCAACTTTCCTTCTTGGGCTATTTCAGAATCATATGATTTATTCGTTATTTTAATTTCATTGTTGACCGGTCGTTGGCCTGTTTTATTCTAATTTCCAGAAAAACCATGCCCCAATATTGGATTCTTGGAAATAATTCTATTTAAAATCAGTGCAGGATTCTGCCTTCCTTACTATTTACTGAGTGATGCCCCTCTCCCACTTTTTAACATTTTTGGACAAACAGAAAGAACAATCTCATGAAGTGTTTTCGCTAGTGTGGAGGACTTAGATTTAATTCCTAAAATGCATTCCCCTTGAGCCAGCCAAATGGGGAGGAATGATAAAACACATGTTTTGTCTTCTCCAAACAGTTTTATCATGCTGCATAAGTTTGTTTTTTTTTTTGTAGAGTCAGCTAAGTACCCATCATTTATATTTAAATGCTGGGGGGGGGAGTGTTTTTCTTTTAGTTTTGTTTGTAAATAAGGTAACTGGGCAATCAAACACCTTTTGGGGATCCTGGCTTCATTATTTTCTCCGCTATTTCAAAATTAAATATAAAAATAAATCCTTTGTAGGAAACTTGCATCCTGATTTTTCTTTATTGCAGTTGAAAGTGTAAATAATAAGACAATGTAAGACCTTCCTAATGTCTAATACAAACTGGGCTATAGCAAGTTGCCCTATTTTTATTAGGTTTTGAAGGTTTTGTGGGGTTTTTTTTCTTTTTAAAATGTACAGTAGAGTGGTGTCTGTATAAGTGTTAACTGTAGTGGGATTTTGTCCAGCAAGCCTGAAATTTATACTTTGAAATAAACTACTGGGTTTTTAACATTTGAGTATTCTGATTCATTCTAGTTATTCTCAGCCCTTGTGTTGCTTTTGGAAGTCTCTCACATTGTTAAGAACCACCCATTATACTGTATAACATGGTTTATTTAACCCACTTGGCAATACCACAGCACTCAAACAACATAGAATTCTCTAGCTTTGAAGGAGTTGTTAATGTAGAATTGCTCCCAGATTAGATATGCTACTTTTAACTGATGGGAGACCACATTAAGGTTATATTGTGTGCCTAGTCTGTACCACGAAAAGACTCAGCTGGTGCTTGTTAATGGCTGGAAGAATCACTAACTGTATTCTATTAGAGGTTCCTTTGAAAACGAAGCTCCACCATCCCCTAGGTCTTTGTCATTAAGTATATCCAGCCCTGGGAAGGATAAAAAGCATGGAAGAGTGTACAGGTTCTTAGGGGCAAGGCCTGGAAGTGACACTAGTATCAGATTCCTTGGGCAAGAACCCTATCACATGGCACAGCTATCTAGGGGAACATGGGAGATGTGGTCCATGTGGCCAGGCATGAAAGGAGAATATGGATCTGGGTGAGCAGTTTCTGCCATACCGTCCTGTATATGAACTTTTATGGTAAAGCCAGGTGTTATTATTTATCTTCTAGAGTATTTCTTCTACAGTGTGTCACCCTGTAGAGAATGTGTGTTGTAAAAAACTACAAAATCAACAGAAAATGAAAGTGACACGCTGAGGGGTGCCTGGGTGGCTCAGTCGTTAAGCGCCTGCCTTCGGCTCAGGTCATGATCCCAGCGTCCTGGGATCGAGCCCCGCATCGGGCTCCCTGCTCGGCGGGAA